TTCCTTTTTCAGCTGCCAGAATATTTCGAGCTTCAAGTCAGGTTTCAAATCTGATGGAACAATTTCCCCCAATTATAGCTATCAGGTTTGGAACTAGACTCGCCACCGCAACCCCCCCAAGTTTGAGTGAGGATAGTTCTGGCAGCTGAGAGGAAGGGGTCAAGGAAGAGACCAAGATAAGTGAGTCGAAGGAGGATAGAGAGAGACGGAGTGACCGGACGTCCACAAATCACCTAAGGTGATGCGAAGGCGGTCTGCTTCTGAAAAGTCGAGAGGAATTTGCGATTCAAAATCCCAACGGCTGAGAGCGTCGGCAATGTCATTTCGAGAGCCGGCAATATGTGACAAATCCAGTTCCATGCCTGTGATACTGCAAAGTAACGTGAGCTTTTCAAGGAATAAGCACATTGGAGAGCTCATGCTGAAAAGGCGGTTTCCGCCGGCCTCTGCTCCTGTGTTGTCTGTCCAGGAAGGAAGACAGAGCGGATAGCGGAATCCTGGCAAAGTGCGACTGAAAGTCCAAAGAATTGCAATCTGCGCTAAACACTCATACGATGAAATATCTCTTTGAAGATCTTGAGAAACTGGAATATTCAAAGCATCGAAGTCAGCAAAAACAAATCGTTCGGAAAACCAGATCTTTCGACCTGATGGCATGAAAATGAATCCACCTATCTGACAAAAATCCGAATTGGCACAGGCGTCTGCTGCGGCTTGGCCCTGCCAAAGGGGACGAGGCCGCAAACATTTCATGGGAGATGAAAGCTGAACCCAGTGTAAATACATGCGCAATATTCGTTCAGTCCCTGGTTGGATGCGTCTTTTGTTGGAAGCTGGATCGCGAATGCGCAACCAAATTCGTCTTTCTGTCAAATGACAGTGGCTGAGGTCGGCCTTCGTAGAGATTTCTTGGTGTCGAACAGCCAGAAGCTTGGATCCAACAGGAATCACTGTTCCCGGAGGACGCTCGATGAAAATCAATTCGTCATTGAGGGTGGTTTGCAGTGATGTCCAGGAACCCGGGTCCACGCTGTAGTGACTTGCTGGAATGGCAAAAAGGTCACGATACAAATGCACCATCCATACACGCATTAGAGGAAAAATTTGAGTGATCCAATTCAGCAGACCAATTAACTTTTCCAGAGGCTTCTTGTGAGTGCGTGAACTCTTCAAGACGTCGTGAAGGTGGCGCGTCAGGCGCTCCAATTTGGAGGATGGAATCTCAATGTAGCCCGCGAAAATGTGAAAACTCCAGCCGATCCATGTCAGTTGTCTGCCCAACTCACACTTCTTCCAGCTCACTGGAATGTGAAGCACTTGGCACAGGATACAGATGATGCAGACGGCTAACGGGCTGCTTCGCTCTTCCAAAATGAACAAGAAGTCGTCGACGTAAAGGAAGCCACTGTGCGGCCACCAGACCAAACGGTGCAAAAAGCGAAGCAAAAATCCGCCAAGCCTCTGCCACCAAAATGCAGAAAAGGTGGCCCCGAATGGGCAGACCCGGTAGAAATAGAGCTGGTTCTGTAATGTGAAGCCCAATAAGCCTTGTTCAGATTCTTTCACCACTATTCGCTTATGGGCGCTCTTGATGTCGAGACTGAACCCGCACAGTGGTTGTGAGCAACGGCGCAACGGGTAGCATCGCATCACATCCTTTGCAGAGGGTAAAGTGGCCCGCTCCTCAATGACACAACGGTCATTGACTCCACAGATAGAGGAGTCGACCACCAGGCGCGGCGGACGGCTGTCAGAAGTAGCCACGCCAAGACGCCCAACGGCCAAATTGCCCGAGAAAAACTCTTGAGCTTCTTCAACTGTGCCATGGAAAGGATAAACCCAACCGTGGTCGAGCTCCTGTTGGACCAATGACTGGGTGAGATGGATGTCAGTATCTGCTGATTGCCAATTGCACATGTGAACTGACAGAGGCGTCGGAGTCGCCATGTTAGCGGCGGACTTTGGCAAGGAATTCGAAGGCGGAATGTCGTGAAAGAAGCCAGTGGAGACTCCTTCCAACAAGGAAGGAAACAGAAATATATCTGCGTCCCCCATCAACTGGCTCAAAGATTGTAAAATGCAAAGATTCATGGGTTGGTGCTCTCGGACGCTCCAATCTACGGGTTGACCTGCTTCGGTCAAGAATTCTGTCAAAGCATTCGCAAATGGTTCCAAAATCTGTTCATCGAACGGTGGCTCAGTAGATTTTGAAGAAAAATACTCAGGCAAACGCTGCGGAAGCTTCATCTCTGTCAACAGTTGCAACCACTTTGCGCGCAAATCATGAAAACAATCTGGTTCCGACCTCGAAGGTCGGCTCCAATCGGGCTGCGAGTGAAGGCCTCCCCCGTCTTCGTGGCTCACAGGGAGGTCGTGCAAACCTTTTGTGGGGATCAAGCGGGTGGCTGAGCTGAGGTCCAAACTGTTGCCTTCATGAGAAAGAAGGGGAGAAACAGCAATGCGAATTGTTGACATAGTTTCACTGGATAAGTGGCTATGCCTCTACTCAAAAAGGGCCCATCTGCTTTGCGGACGCCCACAATGGAGCGATGCGCCCCCGGAGCGTGGTTGCATTGACTCCCCAATTGGGTCAAGGGAAAAAATGAAGTGGCAAACATCCATGATTTTGCAAAATCCACATCGAAAGAACAGGCTGCCAAATTCACACAATATGGTGCAGAAAGTTTCAGAAATTGTTGGACTTCCGGCTCAAGCCAACTCATGGCGTTGGTGGGCTGTTCCAGGTGGATGTGCCCACCCGCAAGGTGAATCAGGCGCAAACATTGAATGCATCGAAACAACGTGATGAAACTCTCCTGAACTCGTTGCAATTCATCCGGCGCTAACTCTGGGAGCCCCGCCGAGAAATCTGGTGTGCGCAGCGCCTTGGGGCCATTGGGTCGAAGCTTGAGGCGAGAATATTCGCCACAGGATGGCGAGGCGGCCCCAGAGCCTACCACACCACTCGCGCAAACACGCAAAAGCGATTCGTAAAAAGCATCGGACAAAAGATCCATCTGAGGATCCAACAAAATGTCGACGGATAAGTGATCGACTCCGAGCACATTCAAAGCATTGGACAAAGGAACTGTGACTCCACAACAAATGTCGACAAAAATGCGAGATGCTGAAGTGAGACTCTGTTCTAATTTCGTGGAGGTTTCGTCAGGAGGAGTCCTTGGGATTCCCGGGGTTTCTGGTGGAAAAGGGACACTGGAACAATGGCCCTGCGAATTTGGTGGTGTCGTATTGACGTCCGGTTCATGCAAAGTGGCCTCTGCGAGGTAAAGCTGAGGCGCCAACTGGCTGCACGGCGCCGACTGATCGCAGGACGCCGGCATCGGCTTGGTCGATGGCTGAGATTCCCCTGGTGTAGTATGAACTGAACCGAGTCAGTGGGGTGTGGAGCGGTGATCAAAGGCTGAGTGCTCCTTTCCACAGGCGGTCCCGTCGGGGAGTGGATACGCGCATCTGTGTGTGAACTTGCAATGAGGGCTGGAACACTGGCCGGATTGGTATCGCACGCACATCTGAGTCCACTTGCCTTCGTGGAAAAGGTCGGTGACCCACTGAGGCGGGATTGTTTGCCACCCTTGGATGTCAAGGCTTTGGACTTACCCTTGCTCTTACTCTTGCCCTTAGCTTGGTCATCGGACCTTCCCTTTCCTTTGGAAGGTTGCCAAATGGTCACTTTAGGTGTACGAAGTCGAGGCTGTAGATACAGGCTCAAGTCAGCACGGAGGTGAGTCATCTCATGCAGTGCGTCGTCCATGGCCCACTCACGTTCGTTCATGAGCTCGCTAATCACTGACCAAACATGCTTGTCTGCCGCCTGGGCTTCCAACACTGTGGCACACCGAAGGCCTGATTCGGGATCGAGCCTTTGAGTCAGATACGTCAAGAATTTGCTGGTATAGGCTTTCAAATTTGCAAGGTGCGCACAGTTGCACATGGCAAGAGCCGTATTGTGAAGGTCCAGCAAATTGCGGATAGCATTCACTCCCATGCCTGAGTTGCTCACCTCTAGGGCCGGCGGCTCGTCTATCAATAAGGTATGTAGGGTGAGGCCTTCCAGTTTCGGGGCCTTGCTAGATCGAGAAGCGGCGATGTCTTCCGCACGGGACACACTCAAGCGAAACTTCCACGGCACCCACGACCAATGCTTCTTTGCAGTCTGGTGGGCGACCAGACTCAACAATCTTGTGGATGGCATGTTCTCCGTGGACAAAATCTCGGAGGGATACTTTTGCAAAAAGGCCAGTTTGAGGGATTTGATCTTGTCTGAGTTCAACTTGGGCGCAAATGATTCACTCCAAGAAGTGTCTGTGGTAGCAAGCGCGGGCGAGGCACTGCTCGATCCTGTAGGCAAAAGCGGGGGAGAACCCGACTTCCAAGCTTGATGGCATTTCTTCCAAGCCAAACGCAAAGCCGCCCTCTGCAGGGCTCCTACTTCCTCGCCGGGGACGAGTTCACTGAAAAAAGCTGGGGAGAACTCCTCAATGCTGCTCACGCAAAATGCGAAAGTTTCTGCCGTCCAATTTTCAGCAATGAGCTGCGCACTGATACCTGAGCTAACGCCGCAATCCGACAGGACGCTTTCAAGCGATTTGTCATCCACAGGATGCGCCATCACGCGAGGTGCTCAAGCTAAATGAACTCAGAAGAAGAAGACATGCGTCGTGTATGTCATCCCAAGATGTGGAGCGATGTTGAAAGAAAAGTGCTGAGTTTAAGGATGAGATGGAAGCACTTCTGAGCTATGGGCATGGTGGGTTGGCAAGAATGAAACGGTGATTAGGATGACACCTGGGATGTGGGTTCCAACGTAGGCGAACCAAAAGCCGCGGCGAAGCAGCCGCAATACGCTCGCGCCGAATGTCGAGGGAAAGAAAACTCACGCAAGCCAAACGGCACCGAGAAAATGCAAATAATGCAGCCCAAGAAAGGACGCATTATTGACACCACGGTCCTTGAAAAACAGGTGTATCTGATACACCTGGTTTTTGATCGAAAAACCTGTTGAGGTAATGCTGAAAAATGCGGATTCCAAAGCGGCAACGCTAGCATCACGGGGTCAATATACTAGCATCAGCGACACTGCGACGTAAAAAAGAAGAAGCATCAACACGTCTCTTTTTGGACAACACTCGACGCGATCAGTAAGGCAGGGCGCATGCATGTTGCATGGGCTGGAATCGAAACTGAGGGCTCCACTATGGTCCCTGAAGGTGTCCGGACGTCAGGAAGGCTTTTTTGCAGCCTGCGTGCTGACAGGGGAGCATTTGAGGATCATAAGATTCGTGAATGGTCACTGAGAAGTTGCTCATGCGAACTCCGCACGCTGGTTTGTAGTGCGAACCTGCATACCAAACGAATTCAATGGTCGTGTCAGGACACGCGATCAACATGTGACATTTTTGACGATGGCAAGCTAACAATATTTCATCTGAAGCTCCCGCCGTATGCTGTGGTGGCGCTCGGGTTGGAGGGGCAGGGTCAGCTGAGGCAGTCGAGGATTCCGAGTCCGAACTGGCAGAAGAATCGGAAGAGTCCCCTAACTCGTTGGTCTGTGGCTCCGGCGCCGGAAGCGGTGTGTGGTCCTGACAGGCAAACCAGGTGAGAGAAAGGTCATCAGCTTGTTTACGAAAACGTTTAATCTGAACTGCTGGTTCAACCATGGGCAACTGACCCCCACGATGCAGGGGAATCATCGGACGCCAACCTCGAAGAAGTTCCTTTCGGAGAATAGTCTGGCATCTGAGTGCTCCCAAAACATCGTCACGACTGTATAGGCGCATGGATTGATGCGCTGACGACCTGTGATGTCCTTGAAGCATGCGAAGCTCCGGCAAGATTTTCTCAGCAAGCTGATTGCTCCATGACAGGAATGTTACTTTCAAACTATGCAAGCTATAATTAAGGCTAAGGTGTTTGATGGGGCTGTCCAGGGTACGCCAGGGCGCATGAATGAACTTTCGGAGGTGCTGCAACGCTGAGGCGTACGACATTGGCTCAAGCGGCACGACCAGCAGGTCATCTCGGAATGCTGGAAGTACAAAATCTAGGTCATCCAGGTGAAGACGGGTCAAGATTTGGTCCATGGTCCACAAGAATTTTAAGACCCAAGTGAACGATCCCTCACTCATGAGGCCACTGGACACGAGACCGAAAGGCTGGCCCCGCGCAGTCGTCTTGCTCCTCCAGCATGTGCCCCGGAGCGAGTGGGGATCATACACAAAGGACTTCAACGAGACGCGCTGCATGTCAGCGAAACGCATGCTAGTCCAACACATGAGGAGAAAACTACCAAGGATGATCACCTGTGATTCGGGGCAACTGGACATGAGCACTCGTCTCTCAAATTGGACAATGGTCCATAAAGGCAATGGGGGAGCCTCCTTGCGGTCAATCAGCCGTTTTTGCTTTAGGAACGAATCAACTATGGGGTCATAGAAGAAATCCCACGTAGTAATTTGGGCCATTTTGGCACACCACCGGAGTGCTTTGATGGTGGTCTGGTGGGAACTACCGCCATCTGTAGATTTGGCCAATGATGCGGTCATCAACAAGTCTGCAAGTTGAACGGGGGTGATACTAACTGGGTCAATGCCCGAATCATTGCATGTGGACATGAATTGGCGGACAGTGGCTACATACTTCCAAATGGTGCTAGGGGCAAACTGGTCAAGAACCCGATCCAAATGAGCATCTACATGCATGGAATGCTGCATGGAAACCACCAATTGAGAAGCCTGACCAAACCTAGAGAGCAAGTCTCTCCACATGGCGCATAACCGAAGGCTATGACTAGGCTGCTGCAATCGAAGTGTCTGTTTCCGGGTGGTGGAGACATTCTGGGGCGCGGACTGAATGCGAGGGATACCAAAGTGAATACCTGATCCGGGTTCAGAGGCTGCACCTGCGGTCAAACTGGTAACCTGAGTGTGTACAGGCACGCTAATATGAGCTGATTCTTGGCGGTGGTCACGCGGTGCATGGTCCACATGAACTAGACTGCGGACTAAGCTGAGGGCCTGCGGACGAGGCTTCGGCAAGGGATGGCTCTGCACAATGCGGGGAGGTGGCACCGTTGAGGCCGGTGGGTCATGCTGCATGTGGGCCGGGGGTTGTGGGGTACCGGAAATCGACACCCTGTGATAGGGGTGGGATCGGTCAGTGACCGTGGGGCGGACGCTCGAATCAACGCGGAGACAAGCGGGGACTCTCGGACGCACCGACATGGTGCTGGAAGGCAATAAAAGGTCTGCGGGGTCTCGAGTTGCTTGTGGGACCAACTCCCAGGATCCTGCGAGAACGTTTTTTCAATGCAATTGGACTGAAACCATATCGAGAAAAGGAGAAATTATCAAGCATGCAGATTATATATAAAGGTTCATAAGTTTCCGAGGAGAAGGCTAATAAGCCACTACAAACTGTGAAAAAAGCATACGCCGTGGCAAAGCCGCACTGAGATCAGCACCTGTGACCGAAGTGGCGGAATCGTCATTTGGTTTGTCCATCACGGAATGAAGCGAACTGCCACAATCAAGTGGGCACAACTTGCAGTGCAACGAAAGTGTTCGCTTTGCGCTGAAAGCTGAGGAGAAAGCCGCAAGATGGCCAGGGGCCTGAGAGCAATGAGACGGATCCGATGCGAACGAATCGAAATGGCAGCAATTAGGAAGAAAAAAATACATCCAGCAAAAGACATAAAGGAAGTGTCATACTCCCGCACACTGCCCGAGGTTGCCGGCTCTCTGAAAAGGAATGTATAGTATAGACTCGAGAGATGCACATTAAACTGAGACGAATGCAACGATCCTGAAGCAAAGCAAATGTCACTCTGAACGGAGCTTCACGCTGCGGCCATCACGCCCGGGATAAGGCCGGTAGAAAATGAAAGCTAAGAAACATTTGTAAAAATTTGAAAGCAATGCAGCAAAACTTGCAAAACCATGACCATGAAAGTGAGTGAAAGCGCTGAAGAAAAAGCATTGAAACTCCAGCGTGCAATCTGAATGTCACTTGAGCCAAAATACAGCAACGCCAGAGTAATCTGAAGAACCCTCTAGATAAAACACAAGTGAACAAGTACACTAACTGTTCACTTTCTTTTCTTGGAAAATGCCGCCGGGTTCATCTTCCCTCAGCGGATCTTGTTGGCCAGTGGCTCTTTTGTAGTCTCTCAAACAGCTAGCTAAGCGAGCAACTACCGCGGCGATGCCTACAAGCCGAGCCATCTTGCTCAAGGCTTCAAGTGGTCTCCAAGCAGCTAAGCCGGCTACCACCCCTGCAAGCACAGCCACTTTGGACCGTCGCTCCCCCGGAGTCTCAGGACTCTCATCCGCTGCCTTCGAAGCGGCAGCGCGCAAGTTCATGAAGAGCATGAAGGCCTGCCAGGCGCCCAGCTGCGTCACCGGCTTGGTGAGCAAATCCGCCGCCAGCTTTGCACCTGCCAAGTGTCTCACCTTCCACAGCCCCATGTTGACGCGTTCGCGAATTGCGAAGCACCGAAGCCTCAAATGCCTTGTACGCCAGGCACCGTCCGGGGCTTGCAAAATCTTCAAACCAGTTTGGCTGTCCCCATACAGAACCCCCAGCTCATCATCCAGCATCCCCTGCTCCAAAATGTTCACAATGACGCTGGTGGATTCCCCCATTACCACACCATCCAAGTAGCCGCAAATCTCGGCTTCCGAGCTGGAGAGGGTGGCAAAAGGTTGCAACTTTGATTCCCATTGTACAGGAGCGCCACCATAGCGCACAATGACCCCCTGTTGTCCTCGTCCACCCGGCGGGGCGAAAGAGGCATCGCAAAAAATCTCCAGCTTCTTCATGGTGCTCTTAAAAGCCAAGTCGGACCCCTCCTCCAAAGCAGGTGAACACTTTCCGTATCTCAAACATACATTGGAGGTGTTGGTGACATAGCCAAAAACACGCTTACCATATTCACAAACACGAGCCGGATATTTGCCCACACCCCGACCAAGCCAGGCCACTGCAAAGGACAAATCAGGGCGTGTTCTTGTTGAGAGCCAAAACAATTCACCGACAAGCCCTTGAGCAGCCTTGATCTGCTCTGCAGTTGGATTTTCTTCAGGTTCATCACATAGTGTTCCCGGCATAGGTGTGGCTTTGTGTGCTACAGGTTCATGGCGGCTGAGCAAATCCAAAGTATAGGCCTCCTGGCCGATGATCAGTTCGCCCTTGGCGTTGTCCCACGACAGTTCGATGCCGCAATATTTCATCCATCGTCCCTCTTGGACAAACTCCGGATCTGAGCACTTCCATTCCTCCGTGATGCGCTTGAGCACACTCCGGACAACATCATCCGGACCCACCGCCAGCAGGTCATCCACGTACACCGCCACATAGCCAGCAGCATATTCAACTTCATTTGTAGGGCATGCGATCACCTGCCAGAGATTCCCCTCGCTCAATTCATGTCGAACTCCATTGAGGTTCCACTTGAACTTCTGGAGCATGGAGTCTCGGTAGATCCTCCAATCGGCAGGACTGGATTCCAAGCCGTATATGGCTTTGTCGATGATCCAGCGTTCGGACTCGGTGACGATTCCAGCTTCTACGAGCACACGAGGTAGAACTGCAACAAGTAGTGATTCCCTTGCCCGCTGACGTGGTGCCAGCAAAAATGCCGTTTTCACATCAATGGACCCTAGGGTCCAGGCTTCATTTGCGGCCTTGCGGAAAAGACACCGCAACAAAGTGGCGTCCGCCCCGCCCGCGTAGTTCCCAAAAAGAACTTCACGTCCATCATCATGATGATCTTGTAGAGCTGCTTTTGATGCCTGGTCAGGATCAGCCCACTCCACCCGGTTTCCGCAGATGACCATGCGTGCACGATGCTTTCCAAACGGTGCCTTCACCGTAGGGACGACCGTGGCCGGCGCTATCTCCATCTCGGCATAGTTCGGGTGGTCCTTCAAGGCTTCAACCGTAGTGGGTCGGAGAGCTCGGGTATTGGAGGTGAGGGACACATACTCCTCAGACAGCGGTTCCTTCCATTTTTCCAGCTCACGGCGCACCTGTTGGAGTGGTACTGTATATGTCTGGAGAACTGTGTTCGGCCTCGAAAACGTTCCGGTTGTGGCCTGGAGCTCATTCACCGAGGCCAATTTTGCCCACAACGCATTTTCTAGTTCTTGATGTTGTGCTTCCAGGGCCGCTTCCTTCAAGCGCACAGACGTTTCCAGCCATTGAAGCCACTCTCCTTGTTCACGACCCTCCTCCGCTCCCACGGCGATCTCTCGGAATTCATCACACCACAATCTCTTCAGTGACCAGTGCTCTAACAGCTCCTGCTCGTTGCAGCAAATCTCACCATTGGACGGGTCACCACACCCAAACGATGTAGCTGAGCTCGAAGACGGTGCTCTGCAGCATGCCTCAAGGCACATACCCAGAACCCATGAGGGAGCCCACTTTCATGTAGAAGTAGTCGAGTGCGCCGCTTGATCTGGTTGATTTCAGACTCAACGCGGCCGTTGCTTTTTGCATCATCTCCTCCTGTCATGGTTTGCAGGAGGCTTCAAGTTTGACACCAGCGCTGCACTGGTTTGGCCAAAAATGATTTCTCACGATCGCTATGGAGGCGGAAAATCTGGACCCCCAGCGACTTGAACTTTGCATACACCTTCGACAAGGCCTAGACGATGGAGCCAACCGACCTGCTCTGCATCACTTCAACGACGGTGAGGTTCTGGAAGTGCATGGCCTCCATGGATTTAGCAATCTCCCCATCCTCAGACTCACCACGGTCCCGGTTCACCCCTTCAGCCTCCTCCGGAGTCACCATTTCAATTTCCTCCTCCAGCTCTGGCAATTCAGGCACCTCCGTCAAAGCTTCAGGGTGATCACAAGGTTCATCACCTGCTCCCGGAAGATCACCTAGGATGGGCACTGACACTGTTCCAACCAAGGCATAGCGACAGAACATGCCCGTCCCATAGTCCTTCCCTGCTTCGAAGGGGCCACAACTGTCAACCGACAGGACGAAGTGAATGGATGCCCCTCCAACTCGACGATGCGGAGCGTCACACCCCATCGCTTCTGCACAAATGCGGCAGTCCGATCTGAACGGGATGTGCCCTTGATGTGCATGGCGTCTCCAAGCATCCATGTCCAATTTGGCCATTTGTGGTATGCACTCCCCCTGTTCCTCCAACGTCAAGGACGACAGAAACCAGGTCATCGAGTGCTGGATCGCCTTCACCAGGCCAGGAGCCCAAGCTGCCCATTCTTC